AGCTTTGATGAGTTAATCTGTAGAAATTCAGAGATGGCAGACACATGTGTAGAGTTTCTGATATAAATTTTTATTTTGTTGGTTTTAAGCATTATTATTCTCTATTCTTATTGAAGGCTGGGTTACCCTGTAATTTCTCTGATATACTTCATGCCCTCCCTTGCTGTCCGGACTATCAAAGTAAGATTGTTGATAGAGAAATGGTACTTGGATCTCATCAATAATTCATTTGCACAATAAGCAATTGCAAGAATCGTTAAAATTATTGGATATCTTTTAGAAAAACATTACATTGTTTTAACTTAATATCTGGGTGGGTGCTTTGCTCTCGGTAACAATTACCCACTTTTATTTTCATTTAGTACTAGAATTGTCAACGGAAAACTTATTGATTCCATCTATACAGTTTGCTGTAGTAGCCATGGTTTCATGCAAACTTGCCAGATCTTTTGGAAAATTTTCAGTGGATGACAATCAGGTAAAAAAGAAGAAGAAGAAGAAGAAAGTATGTAATGGTTAGCTTGACATAAACCGAGACACTTTTCATATCTGGCATCATCTGTGGGAAAAGGAAATACATGACAGAGAAGAGGGAAGACCAACCCATTTTTTTCTAAGTTCCTTGCCATGTTGACAGCATAAAGGGAAAAAATTTCTATGACCACATAATTCATTATCTATCAGCTAATTCATTTTTTACTGTGCACTTGTGAAAATGATTTAGTTTGTAATTTTTGATGTTTGCTTTTCCTAATTTGTATACTTTGTGCATACTTTTATTTTATTAAACTTCTCCAATGTGTAATAATTGTTATTTATGTTATGTTAAAGATGGGTTGGATTCCTATATAGCAGTGTTTCCCAAACGTAGCCTGGGCTAGTGACCCTAAATGTGTGGCCATGTAGTAAAATATCCAACCATTTTCATGGTAATTATACTTGCAGATGTATATTAGCTTACATTATTCTCTACTTTTATAGGTTTATATTACCAACACATTGAATTTCAGTAAACAAGTGTTAATAAAGAAACATTAATTTACTGACAGATTCAGCTATGGACTCTTTTATTCTTCTTTTAAGACCCTCTGGCGACCTTCAGAAAAACCCTGTTGTGTGTTGTCACTGTAGTTTATATATTGATGGCATCATAAGCACTTTTCACCAAGGAGTCAATTGCTTTGTTAACCGAGCATCACCCAAGTAGACTACCCAATTTCTTGAATCTTTTGGGGATAAAATCACTTCTAATACCCTTACTATTAGTTAACAGTGTGTTAGAATGAATGAATTAAAATCACTGTGGATCAAGGCACGTGTATATACTCTCTTCTGGTTTGTTAAAATTGTGCAAGGCCTGTTCCAATGAATATTTAGATATATGGACATGCATATATATGGAAAGAAATGCATATCTATCTTGAGATTTGCTTATCTACCAGATAGATAGAAAGGCAGATGTGTATTTGTCAATAGATAGATAAGCAGATGTATATTTATCATTAATTTCTGTATATATGCATGTATGTATCTATAAGTATTCATTGGGTTGGGCCTTGCACAATTTTAACAAACCGGTTACTAGCATCAATAGGTTAAAGCTGACATAGAAAATTTGCCTTGGATAATACACAGAAAAAAGAGTGATGTTTGATTACTCAAGCTAATCATTACATTCTGATAATGTTACATTTCTGTCAGGATTGTAGTTTCGCATAAGTATCACTATTCATAAAAGTGTTTTTCATATGTCTTCTTTAAACTTTCAGGTCTTTGAAAAGAAGTACAATGATGAATTAGTGAAAGGCTTAGTCTCAAGCACTACTCAGTTTGAGTACGCCTGCTTCCTAGTTCGTAGCAGGTAAGATACTGTATCAAGATTTGATGTGCTCCTATAAACTGAAGTTGTATAAAGAAATGGAGAAAATTCTCAAGTGATAGTTATCCATGTTACACATGTTTTATGTATTATAAATTCAAATTAAGAATAATGATTTTTCTTTCACAATTTTTCACTTTTCACAAGGAAATGTTAAATTTGAATACTTTGAGTGTGTGTGTGTGTCTACATATCTCAATTTAATGAGAAAGTAGTAATGAACTTTCAGGTGTAACTGTGATTTGAGGTATGATTTAGCTTCTTGATCTGGAAAATTACACTAGCATGCATGTATGTGTGTTTTGACAGATACCCAGCAGACATCCAGCGAGGTGTGGTCCTCCTAGAGGAACTCTACAAACGACCAGAGGAAATCGGCAAAAGAGATTACGTGTTCTACCTTGCAATTGGGAATGCTCGTTTGAAGGTGAGATATCTATATATAGGTCTATTCATATTGTTACAAAAAGGCATATTATAACAATATGAGTGTTTATGTTCATGGCAATGAAAATCCCACCAAAATATGTGGATGTTCGGGGTGCTGAAAAGCCTACCAAAACTCGATTGGCTACGAAAGGGGAGTGGCGGGCTGTGTGAGAGGAGATCTTGGAGAGCGAG